GTGATGTTTGTTGCTGTCACTGATAATCGTTCGGTTTCGGAGGTGACATTTTTATTTTGGTTGACACAAAAAGGTGTTTACTTGTGTCATCTTGCTTCAACTGGCTTGTAAGGACACCGCTCTTTGGGGAGGGGGGGGGGGAGGCGGTGTCCCTCTCGTTGTAGTCGGACTGACCATTAAATTAATAAGCTTTTAACTCCGCCGCGCTAAAACGAGTTTCTGCTTTTTATCAGTACTAGTGACGAATTTTTCTGACAAATTGCTTGGCGTCGTCGCTTACTTCGGATGAACCTAATTTCAAATAAAGCTATAAACAAGCATGATGCGGTGTCTTCTGCTCTGAAGTATGAAGCACACACTGCCTCTCGTAGTTACCCACTGCTAAAACGTGATCCAAAATCCGGCTTTGTTGCAAGCATAATTTAACCGACCAGAAGCAAGGCTACACGATAGGCGATCGAGCCGTAGGGATAAGGTTATGAATCGGCCAACGGGGGCTTCGCGATGCTCGCCGCCTACCAAGTGAAGCATGAGGACGCAGATCGATCCTATGATCAACTACTACGACAACGGTCAATACAGTCAGGCGCTGGTTCGGAGCGGCGAATTGTCACGCATGGGATTTTCTAGTACTTTTCTCATGTCTCGGACGACAGGTTTGCGAAGGAGCCCTACAGCTCAGAATAATTAGCCTGTTTTTCCTACAGAAACCAGGAGGCAAGTTACAGGAAGCACTTTGGATGATGTTGCGGTTGGAACATGAGATTCATTGGCCTGACGTTTCCGGTTCTCACTCAAAATCATCATCAAAGGCAGTCCCAGAAAGGGTTGATGGAGGCACAAGGAGCGCATTATTTATAGAACACTGTTGCCAGGCCATCACATGCCTCCAATGTTTAGCGGCACTCGTGCTCATTGCCGGGGAGGGGGTTGTATTTGATGCGATGCTTACTCGTCGGTCTGTATCCGAGTCGTCAACAGCCGTGATTTAATCAACGTTGTTGATTCTTGACGTGACGATTACTCGGCAATTTGGCAAACTGCCATCGGAACAGTTGGGCGCCCATGTCCTCTCCGCGCGGCTAATTATTTTGCCCGGCAAAATCGTAGCACAAACGAAACTGTTCATGAAAGCGACTAGTGCGATGCAAGTACTGAGCTTCAACAGCAACCAACCAATCAGCCACAAGCGCATTTGCAGTGGGTCGCTATATTGATGTGTCGAGACGCACTGCAGTCGACTGGAAGACAAGGTTGCTGAATTAAAATATATGCGACGGGAGCTTAAAGCGAATGGGTAACCGCACAATCTCTTCAGCCTGTGCACGCCTATACTCTACGAAAGGCGAAATTCTACCGGCTCCAAATTTTGGCGATCGCTCCCGTACGTGAAAAAATCCCTGAAACCGTCGGCTGCCTTCTGGCAACCGTCAGGCGCCGGGCTATAAGGCCGAAAGACGCACTGCTAGACCAGGGGACGCCTGGAGTCGCTAACCAGATATGGTGCTGTTGAGGGCAAAGCAAATACGTCGGAGGAACTCGGAGATTACTGTATATTTTAATGGCCGGAGGAGGAGAAGTGGCAGGAGAGAGAGAGGAAGTCGCTTTATTTTAAAATCATAAATTCGAAATTTTCAGCAAAAATTGGTTAAGTATGCTGCTGATGATGTGGTTATTGGACACCCTCTCAAAAGTCAGACACACTTCCAGTCTCTAAAGGATGCCTCGTTCGATTGGACGCCGACACACCTTCATTTTGGCTAGGCCAAAATTCTCGCAGGGGGCGACAACTGTGTGAGCCACGGCGTGTTTGAGTCATGGCTCTCCGGGCCGCATTCAAGTAACAAACGCAATGACCTCCCGCTCCCATATTCCGTGCTGTGATTTAGCCTGAGCGAAATAATTACTTACGCGGAGAGGGCGTGGGTGCCTAACTGTTCTGATGACAGTCTGCCAAATTTCCGAGTAATCGTCATGTCAAGAATCAACAACGTTGATTAAATCACGGCTGTTGACGACTCGGATACGGACCGACGAGTAAGCATCGCATCAAGTACAACCCCTCCCCCTGGCAATGAGCACGAGTGCCGCTAAACACCACCACCACCACCACCACCACCACCACCACCACCACCACCACCACCACCACCACCACCACCACCGTCACTATCGCCGTTGATCTTTGCAACTTTCAAATGTGTCAGGAATGCATTGTCAAAGGTCTTATAAGGACCTTCAGCTGGAGGCGCACGTTGCACAACATGTACAAGAAGTAACTGCGGACAGTTTACGCCTCGACCTCCTTTTTAACAAAGAAGACGAATTACTTCTGATCTAATGTGTAGAGTAGATGTGCTGACTCATGAAGTGGTGATCGAAATTCTGAAATGCGTAGGGTTGTTATATCGATCACCGTGCAGCTCAATCCCATGATAATTCAGTTACTTCAGGATGCCAGCTTTGAACGAACTTGTTTTTGGCCGCCAGAAAAAATTACACTCGGTAAATATGACCACTTAAGTAGCATGAAACTTTCTCATTGATTTTCGATGCCCTTATAAATTCAAATATATATTTGTCTTTTACTCATATGGTAGAAAATTCCGTCTTCCTTAAATATTATACTGGAGCGAAGGGTATACTTCGGTTCTGAAAAAACTTTTCCAGTTTCTGAATAATTTTGAAATCGACCTGTCGTTACACTCCCACTCAGAGTTTCCAAATTTCAAGCTTTATGTTTTCCGCGTACGGAACATCATACACTTTTCTACCGTATTGAGAGGAGACCGTATAGAAGTTCATAAAGTTTATCAGTGGATTTGAGCATATTTTAAACTTTTCAAGTAACACTAGAAACTGCAGAGACATGATGTTTTATGAACGGGTATTTCCT